CCCGCCTGGCGCTGCCGAACTTGCTCTAACTTCCTCGGCCGACCGGGCCGCGCCGCCGCTGCCGCGCCCGGGTGAGTATCGCGCGGAGCCCCAGCCGAAGCGTCGGGCCCTGCCTCCCTCATTGTCTGAGGCCGAACCCCTCAGTGAACGTCCACCGGAGACAAGGACTGCTCCCCAGATTCCCGCTCTGTCCCTCAGACTGCCTCCTCGCCTGCCCGGGGGTGGCCCCGCGGGCGGCGCTGGCTTTGTCTGCCCGGATCGCCCGCGAGCGGTTGGAGGCCGCGGCCGGGACCCTGCGGAGCCGAACTCAGGCTCGGGGCGGAGTGAGAGGCGCGGCGGGTGATCCGGCTGGCGCTCCTGACTCAGTCGCCCTGGTTTCCTCCGGGGACGGGCGGGGGTGGGAGTACCCTGCGAGGGAGGGGCTGGATTCCCGCCGTCGCTCAGGGCTCGGCTTTCGTCCCCAGCCGCGAGCCCCGGGGTGGGCGCTCTCTTCGGCTCCGTAGCCAAACCTCCGCACCCGGGAGCGAGGGTCGGGGTTGAAGGTGGAGGGGTGGATACAGGCCAGTGAGGGCTGCCCCCTCCCCCTACTCAGCGATGGGTGTTCTCCAAGTCGCGCACGCGACTGTGCGTCCAACTCTGCTTGGCTCCGGCTGGGGGCTGCCAGAGTTTGAGTACGTGGAGACCCAGCTTCTCCGTGCTTGGAAGCAGAGCCCGACCCCCCACCCCCCACCCCTGACCTGGCCTAAGCTTTGGCCGGGTTGCTTTTGTGGCTCGTCCCAGCTTGCTGCTCCGTCCCAGTTGCGGAGGTTAGGAAGTTTGTGTGTGTGTGTGTGTGTGTGTGTGTGTGTGTGTGTGTGTGTGTGTAGGGACGTTGGCCTTGGGACCACTTGAACGTGTGTCTTGGGAACTTAAGATTGGCCTCCGTAGAAAGTCAGAGTTTGGGGAAGTCATGAGCCCGTTGGTATTCTGGCGCTGGCCACCAAGCAGTGGTGAGTACTAAATAACTGTCCCTGGACGCTGGTCCGAGGACTTCATGCCAGAGAGTGTAGGGCTTTGAGTTGGAGCCTCTGCAGGTGTGCTGAGAGCTGGAATCTGCTCTACAGGAGGTCACTCTTGGGCTGATGTGTCAGCTGTATGCCAAATCCTCAAAGAAGCCTTCACCCTGCCCCTTGACCTGGAAGTAGAAGTTGGTGCCATCTGAGTGCTTGGGCCACCCCTTCCCTTTTGTGAAAGGAAACCTGGAGATCCACATTCAGCCAGTACAGTGGTTGGTGGAGGCAATTTTCCTTTCAGGGATGCTCCTGGGTGCTGGCACCCTCAGAATGAAGGCCAGATTCCATCATGGCTCCATATTGCCTTCTAGCCCCCTTCCTCAACGGTCCCCAAGCTTTGTGTCCCATTCAGTGTGTGTGTGTGTGTGTTTGTGTGTGTGCGTGTGTGCACGCGTGTGCTTGCAGTGCGATCGAAGTGCCATTGCACTTTGCCACACTAGGGGGTTGAACCCAGGGCCTCACACCATGCTAGGCAAATGCTCTACCTCTGAGCTATACCCCCAGGCCCCATTCTGAAGATTTCTATTGTTTCGAGGTCAGACCTTAGAAACCAGGCTACCAGATAAATTTTCCCTCTCCTTCTCATTGTGTTATCCTTTGTTGCACTCCACCTTCAGGTGAAGACTTCTTTGATGTGTCAGTCTCTTCCTTTCATTTCTGAACTCCACTACTTGGACCACCTAATATTATCTGGCACTGTTGCAGGCAGTGTTCTAGGACTAGTGATTCCCTGACCATCTGTAAAACCTGTGTGGTCTTAGAATCCAGGCTGGACTTAAGTAGGTGCCCAATAGTGTTAATTGATTTGAGTTTAGCAGCATCAAACAGGAATTTGAGTCATGGATGCCTTTGCAGGTTTGTGGCTGCTCCCAGGAAGAAAGGGCATGGAGGAGAGGGGGCTGCAGAAGTGTTATCCGCCCAGGGAAGATCCACCCCTTTTTTAAGCAACTGTGTTAATCTCTTAGGACAGGTGAGGACTCGATCCTCCCTTTCCATGTTTGGGAGTGGGAGGATGAAGCTCATGCCTTGCGTGGGAGGGGAGGGGCCTGCTTTGCAGGTTTTGGGAGTGAAGTTCCCAGGGAGGCCAGGATGTATGCAACCATTTCCTGAGGCCTCATTCTAGGTCACAGTGCGCTCAGGGATTTGACCTTGTTTAACTTCGGCTGAGTAGAATTCATTTTGGCAGCACCATTTGCCATTGTGCCAGACCTGGGAAACCTTTGCTGGTGTACAATCTAGGAAGGTTTTGGAGAAGCTTACCGCAAATATGTGGCAGGTTTAATATTGATAGTAATAGTGACTTTGTTGAGGCTTAGTATTTACTGAGACTTAAACCAGTAAACTATGCTAGTTTTACTTATATTAACTCATTTAATCCTTGAAACAACCCAGTGTGAGATGATATTAACCACCTCATTTTACAGATAGGAAATAGTGGTCAAGAGAGGTCACAGAGTAACTTAGCTTGAGTTTTCAATTTGAGCTGGATTTCCTGATTGCTAATTGGAAACAGGCATTACTTAATGCCGTCCTCCAAGAAGTGATTAAAATTGATTAATATACTGAACAAACCTGGCCCACAGCAGAAAGACTAAGTTCTTACTGGGGCAGTTGCCTTTATATCCCTGCATCAGAAAGCATCTTGCGAGTGTAACACAGTCTGGGCACACAGCAGGTACCTCCAGATCCCTGCTGATTGACTGCTGATGTAGCTTATGTGGTAAGGACAGACAATGGGAAAAGTGACTGAAAAGTCACTGCTTATATCTGTCTAGAGAGATCAGGGTTTGATGTGGTAACAACAATCTCAGAGGCTTAAAGCAACAAAGGTTTATTTCTCATTCACTCTACATATCCATTGCCTGTCTTTATGTTGTCCTCATTATAGGACCACATATGGTACTATTCGGATTCATTGGAACATTCCTGGCCACTTGGACAGAGGGATAGAGAGCATGATGAATCCTCCCCTGATTCTTAGCCCGTCTACCTAGAACTGGTATTTCATTGGCTGAAGCAAGTCACATGGCCATATTTACCTGCGAAGTGGGGAGGAGATAGAATCAGAAACATTTGGTGAATAGCACTTATGCCCAACACTTGCCTGCCACTGTTCCTTCCTCTGTGGTTTCTTCCCACAGAGGGGATCCTATTATCATTGTATGTATCTATGTCACCAGGAGCAGTAATCATGAATTAGAGAAGCACCATTTAAGTTAAAGATGAAATAAGGTGCTACATTTGAAAGGCAGAGGTATGGTAAACAAAAATGCATTTCAGGATAGTAAGAGGTGGTCTGCAAAGGCACTTCGCTTCTCTGGTCCTGGATAAGTTACTTGAATTCCTGAATATTATTTTGCTCATTCATTAATTCATCCATTCATTCAGAAGCTCAAGAACCAGTGGCAAGTTTCAGGTCAGAGATTCTTACGAAGCACATGCTCAGGTCCCAGTAGGGATGCTAGGGATGATGATACCTGTTTTTTGCTGCTGAGTCCCAGTAGCCTTTTAAGTGAAATATTATTATCCCTGAGAAGTTAAGCCAGCTCCTGTTCTACTTCACTACCCTGGCTTGTGAGTTCTAGGATATCTTGTACTTCCTATCCCGCCTAGATGTGGCTAGCCACCTTTCCTTGAAGCAGGAACAGGTAGAGTTACCTCTGGCAACTGTGCCCTCCCCCTTCCCTTTTTGTATTCTGAGGCTGAGCTTGCAGGCCTAGAAGTGTGGACAGGAGTGTTTGTGTGGAGAGGTAACTGGAGGGTGGACTCATTGGCAAACAGGATTGAGTGTGGGACTGGGATGGTTCTCTGGAACCATCTACTAGAAGGGATTAGAAAACAGATGATGTTAAAAAAATGAGCTACACTGAAGTTCTTGCTTTTGTGCTTCATTACCTGCTTGGTTTCTGGTGACATCCAATATAACCCACAGACACTGGGAATGGTGCAGAGACCTCAGGTTGTTTTGCATTATGGCTAACTCACTATCCTTAGGCATATTTTCTCCTTTTGCAGATCCTCTTTTCCCATCTGTGGAATGGAGGAACAAGTGATTGTGATCTCCGGCAGTTCCCACTCTTGACTGGCCATCAGAGTCCCCAGGGAGCTGTGTAGACTGGTGATTTGAAACTCTTGGGCTTAGAGAAGCCAGTATTTTGGTTTTGCTTTTCCCAAACCCAAAAAGCAGTGTCTTCTCTGACTGTGAAGAGCATAGGGTTTTATAGTCTCCCACTCATTTCTCCCTTAACCGCATATGTTTTTCATTTGGACAGAGCAAGTAATTGTGTTGGTTAGCACAGTACCTGGCTAGTGGGCATTGTTCAGGATCTCTGATGATTCAACATGAAGATGACTGGCACCAACCGGCTCACAGAGTGGACAGTGAGGAGGCCAGCTTTCAAGTTGTGTCTAATTTCTGACCAAGTGTCCTAGATCACAGTTTTACATTTTCTCTTCTGGATAGTGAAGCAGAATCAAATCGGCCTTCTTGTCTCACTGGGTTGCTTTGAGTGTGAATAACACTTCAGATTTGAGAAACTGGGTCCAGAGCCCGAGTCAGGCCTGATATTCTGTTTGGGACAGTGCCATCTGTCTGGAGGCTCTCAGCAAAGTACTTACCAGCAGCTGATTCTGGGAACCCCACTTCCTCCACTCTTGGGCCTGGTAGGGTTGGGTGGAGCTGGGCGGGGCTGTGGTTTTCTCTTAGGAGGCAGCCGGCCTGTAAGTGGGCCTTGGCAGATCAGAGTTGAAACCTTTACCTCCTGAGGTCTGTCTGCTTCCCTCTTTGAGCAACAGGGTAAAGACCTTGGCTAGATAGCTGGAGAGTCAGGCTCCTCTCTCCTTGAGCTCTGTCAGCCTGCTCTGGATGACTGAGAGCCATGACAGTTGTCTCAATTGGCTGCTGGGATCCTAGTAGGAGGTGGGCCCCTAGTGCTGCCTCAGACTCCTTGTTCCCTGGCATTAGGCAGACCTGAGTTCCGCTCTTGGCATGGGTAAGATTTGGGGAGGGGCCAGGGCAA